AGACTAGCTCCGATGGCCCTTGCCTCGGAGGCGGAATCTAGCTCGACCTCGTGCGGCACTTAGCTCGGAATTAACCCCGTAAACCCGAACCAAGTTAGCCTTTCCCCAACACTGGCGTGGCCCTCTTACTGGGCTTGAGGTTAGCAACGAAACAAGAAGGAAGGAAGTTGGGAGAAGAAGAGAATTTATTAAATCGCAAGGGAGTGTACAAGAACTTGAGTACAAAGCCCCTCTCTGCACTCACTCTCACCTAGCAGCTCACTCACTCTCTAACTCTCCAGCTCTCCATCTGATCTCCTCTACTAAGGCCACTCCTATTTATAGAGGAGGTCAGGCCCAAGAGCCCTCTGCAGGTGAGGTTCTAGAACACTCCACACAATTCCCTCATTTGTACAATTACTAGAATATCCTCAACCCTCCCTCCTAAGCCTACATTATTCTAGAATCCTCTATTCTAGAATTATCTACAAGGCCCAGGAGAAACCCCCAGGTTGGGCTTGCCCCATTAAGCCCATTCCAGACCCCCTTGTCTGGCACTGTTCCTGCGCGGGTACTGTTCCTCCGCGCGTACTGTTCCCGCGCCCAGCAGCTTCTTGGACAGCTCCAACATGCCCCAGCATGGCTCAACCGCGACTTCGTGCCACGGCCTTGGCGTGGACGCTGCGAACTCATGCCAGGCCCGCCTCTTGGGCGTTCCATGCCATGCTCCAGCCCGCGTCTGTGCCCGTGCTCGCGCGCCTGTGGGTGCCATGGCTGCTGCCCTGTGCCACGATGGCCTTGACTTGGGCCCTCGAGCTCGCGCTCCGTGACACTCTCCCCCACCAAAGCCCTTGACGCCCTCGTCAAGGCCGCTCGTGTCGAGTGCCTCGGTCCCCTTCGCGAGTTGCCGCAAGTCTGTGCCGCGTGCCCACCTCGCTTCCGCTGCAAGTTGCGTTCAGAGTGTGCCGTGCCTCTAGCCTTCCCGCTCTTGGACTCCACTGTCTGGCCGTGTTCCCGCTCACTGCCCCCTGACACCTCCATGGCTGCAAGGACTGTTTGCTCCGTTGGTAGCCGCTCTAGTGGCACCTCGTAGCGAACACCCCTGTCCTCAAAGAGTATGCTCCCGTCCCTCATGAAAGTGAATGGCAGCATTCGAGTGATGAAGTCACGACCCAGCACCATCTTGAAGTCCTTCATGGGCACCACATGTAGGTCGATCTCCCCCGACCATGAGCCTATTTGCACTGGCACCCCTCGTGCCACGCCATGGATGGGCTGCAAAGGCTGATCGACGACCTTCACCCAACCATGCTCCTTGGTGCATGGCAGACCCAACTCCCCCGCTGAGCTGGCCGCGATCAAGCTCTGGTCCGCGCCACTGTCCAGTAGGGCTGGGACGCTTTCC